TTATCGGATTGAGACCTTAAATCCATCTCCCATTAATTTCGTCGGATTCGGATCAAAATCCAATCCCTTGACAGCACTAGTCACAACTACAAGTTTAGTCGCAAATCACACATTTTAAATCATATATTATTTATTAGTCGCAAACTATTCATTTTATTAGTCACAATAACTCGAATAATTGGTCACACACGTTTTTCATCCCACTCTTCTACACTACCATCAACATCACTCAAACGTTGCGCCATCTCATCGCCACTGCACCATCACCTCTACCTCCACCACCACTCAAACGTCACTGTCTCCACCTCACCACCACCACCACCACCAACCACATAGACATGCACAAAATATAGATGCAACGCCACCAATATATACCAATGACCTAACACTCATCCCACATAGATGTACAAACAAATTACAGATCATACCATTCAAATCACACTACCTAGATCGCACCACCCAGATTTAAATCCTAACTTTGACATAGATTGTTGCCCTAGTCGCTACTCAACGGCCTTCAAAGATGTTGTAGATCTCTCGCCACCACAACAAATCTACAGATTTAACAACGAGGACAAATTTCTGAGCCGAGGCCTGACAGCAGAGCTTTGAGGAAAAGATACAACCTAGCAACAATGACGACGATGCAAGTTAGTAAGTTCGGATCTTGTGCGTCATCAGGTATGAGAGGAAAAGGTGGTGGCTGATTTTGGTGATGTTGACCGAAGTTGTTAGGTGCGGTAGATATAGAGAGTGAACAAAGATGGAATCGTAGAGAGAGAAGTAGAATGTCAAGTTAATTAGCCCATGTTTGGTCCTAATTAAATTTTAATTCATTTTTCTCTCTTCTTATCAATTTACACATTCTCTCAATAAAATAATATTACACATAAATCCAAAAATTCTCATTACTTTTTAACCATAAATTCTTTAAAAAATACTATTCCAAAATCAATTTTTTTTAAACACGGGAGCTCAATCAAAGGCTTAGTGTGTGGGCAGCAGGTGTGGTTAGTGGGTTTAGGTATGTGGATAGGGTGGGGTGGGTAATATTAACCTAACTTCTTGTACGTTCA